ACAATCTTTTGTTCGGCTAAGAACGTCTACGATTTTGCTACGATAGGCTACGACGTGCTACGAAGGGCTACGGTAGGCTACGTATTTTTTCATACCTGTAAGAAGCGCAGTTTTGTTGGTAGTTGATGGCAGCTGGTGGTGAATATGACGTGGAATCTTCTTCGTTAGTCACGTCGATACTGTCATCTGGAATTTAATAGTGTTATTGGAATTTAGACCATATTTCTTACCTAATGTGAGAGTTTGTCGATCATCTTAATGTATTTGAATTTTGGGTATTTATGGTAAATTCTCAGCAAATTTTGTAGTGGTCATTTGCCTCTCCTAAATTATTGTATACGTATACAGGTGAATTTGACTGCACGGTTGGTGCGGTGGCTGAGCAACCGACTACCGTGCAACGTGTCGCGGGTTCGATTCCCGCACGGAATAACACTTTGAGTGATCCACAAATTGTTGTTTCGGGTCTGGGTGTCATTGTGTATGTGAACTTGTATGTTTTTTAACGCACCCACGACACAGGAGAAAATCAAAAATACCACACTCAATAGAATGCGCAAAAAGTCAACTGAAAACGCTTTAACCTGTTAAGTGTCGGAACGCAAATCTATGCGAGACACAATATTTTTTCTATTGTGCCTCATTAACGACAGACAAGAGGTTAAAGCATTGTCATTTCAAATCCGTTCTTACGGGTAATATATTAAGTTTTCTAATACAATATCGTTACCATCACTATCAGTATGCACATTGCCCTCCTCGTTGTGATCATGCGAGGAGTCTGGTTGAGGTTGCTGCGTCGGTTGGGGCGGCGGCAGTGGAGCGTAGTGCGGAGACAGCAATGGATAGCGAGCTGGCGATAGTGCCATTGCGAGGGAGACTGGTGGCCTGTAGGAAGGTTTATTTAGTACATAAATATGTATAACAAACATCTATGTTCATTAGTTAGATAATGAAAAAGTGTGATCTCGAAATACTCAAACGCTACACAAGTCTTAAGTCGTACTTGAATAAATAAATAATTCTGTCTGAATACATTTCTTTTAATGATAGAGATGGTACGACTTTTTAAAAGAATGCTTTTTTTAAGGGGGGAAAATCATCGAATGACTGTTCCCGCCTGGGTGAGGCGGGAGGGAGTGTCAGACTCTTACTGGCTAAAAACCACCCCGTTCCTTCTTCTGCACTTCGAGCCGGAGCCTCGGTTACCCGTTAGGTTCTCTGCGTGAATGCTTAGGGCATGATCTACAAGCGATACCGAAGCATATGGTTTTTAGAATTTTTGTCTCTTTGTCCGTATATATGTCTGGGGTAAACTCAAAAACTTGTGACCACTCGGCCAACGAGGCAGTCTTTATTTAGTTTTTATTTATTTACTAGCGACCCGCCCCGGCGTCGCACGGGTGCAATATGCATGTATTATACATATAAAGCTTTATTAACAAAACACAATCTATTAAAAGAATCCTATCAAAATCCGTTGCGCAGTTTTAAAGATCTAAGCATACATAGGGACAGATAGACGGTGGATAGCAACTTTGTTTTGTAGTATGTAGTGATATTAAATCCTTACTATAATATTATAAATCGGAAAGTGAGTTTGTTTGTTTATTCCGCTTTCACGCCGTAACTACTAAACCGATTGCTTTGAATTTTTGCAGACGTAAAGTTATAAGTCTGGATTAAATAATAGAGTACTTTTTATCCCGGAAAAATTTGATATTCTAGAGGGAAAACGAAATTATTGGTATAGATGGCGCTGTGTGTATTGGTATATGTCACTTAGGCTACTTTTTATCCTTTTGTGACGCGAGCGAAGCCGCGGATAAAAGCTAGTAATAAATAAATAAAAAACTTCCAAAGAAGAAGACTAATGTAAGTTGGCAATATTATTTTGACAAATATTTTGTACCGACAAGTGACATCATGCGGATAATTTATCGTTAGAACAGAACATATTTTCTAACCACAAGTTTCCATAATTTATTAAAATAGATGCATTAATTTTATAGCATTATGTGCATATGTACATAATACATAAATGGCAATTCATTTCATTTTCCTCTTTAAACTGTCAAACACCAAGCGGTCACCGGTGACCGCAACCTATTGTTCTATAATTGTGTCTATAATGACGGTACTCGACGAGTTAAACCATCACTGAGTGAAACAAAGGTAAATGTTTATTTAAATATATCATCATCATCATCAACAGCCTATAAGTGCCCACTGCTGAGCAAAGCCTCTTCAAACACGGTGAAGGTTTAAGCGTTATTCACCACGCATGCTCAATGCGGGTTGATGATTTCAAACTTATATTTAGAAATTCTCAGGGCAGGCTTAGATTTCCTCACGATGTTTTCCTTCACCGTTTGTCAGTTGTGTTTCAATAATCATAGAAAGTACATAAACCTTAGGACCACCACGTCATTAGATGTAAAAATATATGACTACGTAATATTGTAATGCCGGGGCCACACTAACGGCAACGTCAAAGCCAATTATCGCGATGTTTACTACGATAAATTTGTGATAATTTTAACGCGATAAAGTGGGTTAGTAGTAGTGGGTAGCTAAAAAAAACAAAAAAAGTGGGTACCTACACTTGAAGTTTCAACGTGAATGCCCATCATGCCAAACGGGAATGTGAATGCCGTTGTCATATTACCGCGTTGACTCGTGGCTACACCTACGGTGAACGTGCATTATGGCGATAAGCAATGGCATTTCTTGTTGGTGTGGCCCGGGCATAACAACAGTGATCTCAAAATCGCTGACGTCTGTAAGTTGTAGGCAAAATGGCATCCAGTCACCTTTGACGACGCCTACGCCGCGCAACGAGAGTAAAAATAGAACATTTTATATCAAAGTCTATCCTTAAGCAAATCAAACTATTTATATCTTGATTGACGTCAAATGTACGGTCTATATATCTATACAGATAAATAAAATTGGAGTGTCAGTTTGACTGCCCCATTGGCCGAGTGGTCGCAAGTGCGACTGCCGGGCATGGGGTCTTGGGTTCGATTCCCGGGTCGGGCAAAGTATTACGGGGTTTTTAAAAAAATCTCAGTCGTAGCACGGAGTCTGGAATTGTGCCCGGTGGCATATGGCAATAGGCTTACCCCCTATTACATGGGACTCATAACATAAATAGTTAAGTGTTAAATTGATTAATTAAGGATAACTCATAGGTTACTCTTACTCATGGGACCATGGGCGAATGCGCTGGCAGAAGAAGCTAATAATATAAAAAAAACACTTTTCATAATACAAGCAAAGCCGTGAAATCTTGCAAGCTATCACCACCACAACAAACACATAAAAACAAAAGTTCATCATAATATAGAGAATAATTAGCTATAAATAACCAGCTTATGACGTCAAGTTGACGAGCCGTGCCGATCAAGTCACCACTTTGATCAAAGGTTGGCAGCCAGCCGCTGACCAGTGGCGCTTGACGTCCAATGGCGGGTGAATGAGCCGCCATTTTGCTACCGTTTTCTACTCGAATGACCGTTATTTTAAATCGTTTTTGTTTTTAAATTAGCCTTTATTTAGTTTACTGATTATTTTTGGAGAGAATTTGTAGTTGTCTAGGTGGAAAGGTGTGTTCATTCATTTAGGCAGAGACTTATCTCTAGTTTAAGTATGAGAGAGCCATGCTTCGGCACGAATAGGCTGGCTCGACCGGGGTAATGCTACGGCTTCACGAAAGACCGACGTAAAACAACGCTTGTGTTATGTTCCTTCGCGTGATTGAGGTTACTGGAGGCCCAATTACCCCTCCCCCCTTTCCTAATCCCTAAGTCCCCAACAATCCTCAAATTCCTAATCCCAACAGGCCAGTAACGCACTTGTAACGGCTCTGGTGTTCCAGTTGTCCATAGCCGACGCCAATTGCTTACCATCAGGTGATCCGTCAGCTCGTATATCCCATAAAAAATGTAAATAAATGGGACCAGAGTACAGTAGAGGCCTATGGTCAGCAGTGGTTACTTATAGGTTGTTGATCTATGAAGCTGTAGACAGACTTCAAATACAAAAGAAAAGTAAATTTTAGCAACAGAGCCGTAATTCACATAATCTCTGTGGTATATTATACACAACCCTGAAATAAGAACTCGTTCCAAATAACAAGAGCTCTTACCTTTACTATTCATGGTAATAAAATCTGAATCATTCAAATTGGCAATCATGGTTAGTGCGTTCCCATGTCCCAAATAAGTATAGTGTTAATACTCTTATGGTTATGTTAAATTCATGGGGTTTTTATGGATAGGGTGCAAGTGAAGGTGAGAGTTACAAAATATGATTATGTATCTAATGTAGCGTTGAAAGTGATTGGATAGAAGCTTTAGGGGTCTTTATTTATGGTCTAGTTTATATTGATTTCGAAAATTGGCATGGATACATGATAGAAGCTTTACATGATATACAGTACTATGGCTGAATATAAGTTTTTTAATAGAATTGATAGCAAACGAGCACCGTCCCATCACATGGGACACATAACATAAATAGTGAAAAGTGGGTGTTGCAATGTATAGCGGCATTAAGTGCCGTAATGTGCACCTCTGCTTACCTTTTCGGCGATACATGATGGCGTAATGTAATGTTATGTTTAAGATGCCAAAACTGACGTTTAACTAAACGTGGTGGTTTTAAAATTAGCGCAGACTTCGGCACACGATCAAGAGACTAGAGTTGACAGTTTTTTTCAAAAGGAGTACGTTTTTTCTTCAATACTTTTGATGGTTTGAAGGTCATATCGGTTTAGAATAATAATGCATTCCATAGTTTAACTCGTCGAGTACCGGTTTTGTAGACACAATTATAGAACAATAGGTTGCGGTCACCGGTGACCGCTTGGTGTTTGACAGTTTAATATTACACTGACCCCATGTTTTACTTAATTGCAAACTCCTACTTCAAAGTATCGACTATGAAATGAAACCTTTATATGTGATATATATTAATATTACACTAGCGACCCGCCAAGGCTTCGCACGGGTGCAATATGCATGTGTTATACATAAAAATCTACCTTAAGAATCACTCTATCTATTAAAATCACCGCATCAAAATCCGTTGCACAGTTTTAAAGATCTAAGCATACATAGGGACAGACAGACGGCGTATAGCGACTTTGTTTTATACTATGTAGTGATAGTGATAGGTACATACATTGGGTTGGTGATTTTTGAATTAAAATGCGCTATAAACAGCCTCTTTTAGAGTTTTTTATTGATTAATTCATTAGTTAGATACATAAATAAGAATATATAGCAATTTAACGAGTTACATGTCAATATTGTTCGATTACAAGATTATACAGAAAGGTTAAATTCACAACTCTCTTGAAATGGAAACTATCATTATTTTTTTAACATAACGTCATAACATTACGCCTTTTATCCCCGAAGCGGTAGGCAGAGGGGCACATTATGCCTCAATATAACACCCACTTTTCACAATTTATGTTGTGGGTCCCATGTAGTAGGGGATGAGCCAATTGTCATATACCGGGCACAATTCCAGACTCCGTGCTACTACTGAGATTTATTGAAAACACCCAGTAATACTTTGCACGACCAAGGATTCGAACCCGAGACCCCTTGCCCGACAGTCGCACTTGCGACCACTCGGCCAACGAGGCAGGCAGCAGCAGTTATTTTTTTTTCTCCTCTTATAATATCTTCTGATTTATTTCGTTGTGCGAACCAAGACAGTTATTCATGTCCCTGGGACGCGCCGGACTTCAGTGTTCCGGTGTTTTCATGGTTGTATCTACTGTAGATACTGGCTTACAGGAGTTGCAGCGGTTTTGGGAAGTAGCGGCGGGCTTGTCCCAATAAAACAAAAAAATCTCTTGAAGTCGGTAAATA